TCATGTTTGGTAAGGTGGAGGGTCAGAGAAAAAGAGGAAGACCCCCAATGTGATAGATTGGCCAAGTGGCAGCATCGATGAACTCAAGCATGGCAACAGAAGTGAGGTTGGTCCAGGATCTGGCAATGTTTCATTCAGCTGTGCATAGGTCGCTATGAGTTGGTACAGACTTGATGGCACCTAACAACAACAACAACAACAACTCTGGTCTATTTATCAAGTGACTCAAAAACTGCTAGTTTTGAGTAGGGCCCAGAAGAAGAAAAGGCTCTACAACAGGTTTAGGCTACCAGACAAGTTCTCTGCCATTTGGGCCATTTGATCCAGCTAATATAGTGGTGCATGAAGTGGTAATGACAGAGATGCAGTGTGAATGCTCTGGCAGGCCCCTATAAGTGCTGAGCCTTACGATTTTGAAGCAAAACCCTTACATCCTCTGCAGATAATTTTTTTTTTTTTTTTTTTTTGAGAAACAGTTTTTGGCTTATTACAGGACCTTAGCAGAGATTGAATGCCTAACTATGGGCCAAGTCTCCATGAAACCTAAACTATCCATGCCTGTCACATTATCTAACTACTCTTAATCAGTAGAAGCAATACTCTCTTGAAGGGTGGAGGTTCAATTAGAACTCCAGGTAACAGACTGAGGATGGCACAGATCAGGCAAATGTTTTGTTCAGTTGTGCATAAATAGGGTCACTATGAATTGGAACCCATTCAAAGGCACATAACAACACCACCATAACCTTAAAGAATATGTTCTCTGACCACAACACAATTTTAGTAGAAATAATAGTAATACAGTGGCTAAGAAAGCCTCAAATACTGAGAAATTAAACAACATAATTCTAAAAAAGAACATGTGAGTCAAAGGCAATTAGAAAATACTTAAAACTGAAAGACAATGAAAACACAACAAAATGTGTGGAACAGCACTTACAGGAAATCCATAGCTTTTAAAGGCATGTATTATAAAGAAAGATTTAAATCAATGAATTAAGTTTCCATGTTAAGAAACTAGAAAAAAAAAAAAAAAAAAAGCAAAAAAAAAAAAAAAAAAAAAGCAAATTAAACTGAAAGCGAAGAAAATAATAGTTAAGAGCAGAAATCCATAAAACAGGAAAAAACAATACAAGAAAACCAAGTGAATTTGTTCATTGATTTTTCTAAAATATGCACTATCTTTATCTACTAGATAGATCCACAATTAATATCCACAGAAGCAGCAGTCACAAAATCAAATGACTACTACATTGGGCAAATCTACTGCAAAAGACTTCTTTAAAGTCTTAAAAAGCAAAGATGTCATTTGAGGACTAATGTGTACCTGCCTCAAACGATCATATTTTCAATTGCCTCATATACAAGCGAGAGCTGGACAATGAATAAGGAGACTGAAGAAGATTTGATACCTTTGAATTGTGGTGTTGGCAAACAATACTGAATATACTATGGAATGCCAGAAAAATAAACAAATCTGTCTTGGAAGAAGTACAGTCAGAGTGTTCCTTAGAAGCAAGGATGGTGAGACTTCATATCACAAACTTTGGATATGTCATCAGAAGGAACCAGTCTCTGGAGAAGAACATCATTCTTGGTAAAGTAGAGGGTCAGCCAGAAAGAGAAAAATCCTCAATGAGATGAACTGACATAGTAGCTGTAATAACGGGCTTGATGACATAGGACAAGGCAGATATTTTTTTCTACTGTACAAAGGGTGACTTGAGTCAAATTTGACTAGATATCTCCTAACAACAACAACATAATCTTTTAGAAAGGATTCAACCAAGTTACTGTTGAATCATTGTGAGGTGAGAGGATGACAAAACTATGACACCCACCACATGACTTCTATAAATCATTTGATATCCAAATAAGAACCTAGGGCAAATTAAAATAATCCAAGTCTAACTAAAACTTAATAAAATGCTTACAGAAATATGGGTATCTAGGAAAAGAACCAAATTATTCTTTAGTATTTTGCTGTACAGCATAAATGCAATAAAAGAAATACATTGATTATTAAAGTTTATGACCTTAGAAGAACTGTGCTAGTGATCCTACAATTTCTATTCATTCTTTATTCAAATTAAGTGTATATGGAAAACATAACCTCCAAAAACTTGGGCACTTTTGACCAAATAAAGGCTATATGTCCCAGATTTCCTCTATAGCTAGCTGTGACAATATGACTAAGTTCTAGACAATACGATGAAAATAGAAACTGTGGGTTCTTTTAGGGCGAACTTAAAATAAGAAAACATCCTTTCTTCTTCCCATTCTTCCTTCCTGTTTGCTAGAATATGGCTGTGATGGCTAATAACTGAGTAGCCAACTTATAACAATAGGTTTTGACAACTATGGAGTTGCCATAACAACCATAACATCCATAACAGTCTATACATGCATGAAATATAAATATCATCTGAAGTCAATTATTTTTTGACAATTGTTAGTCAACCCTAATCTTAGTTAATACTAATATAAAATATATTTTTATCCAACGAAAAAGTGATTTCTGAATTACAGAAAAATTTATATTATCAAAATCTAAAAAGGGGTGTTTAAGATATTTTTGTTGTTATTAAATGCTGTCAAGTTTAAGATATTAAGACAGCTAAAAATCAGGAGAATTATGGAAAATACAATATAACTGTAACATTGTATACTTATGGCCCAAACAACAAGAATTCTAGCAACAAGAATACTAACCTGGGATGTCCTGGTATATTCCTCATAAAGCCTGTCATACTCTTTACTCTTTTCTTGATACTGAGAATGGTATTCTTGCAATTTTTTACCTACTGCATCAATGTTATCTTCTTTTACCAACTGATCCTATACAGGTAAACAAGAAAAGTAGAAAATATTATTCTAACATGAGAAGTTTCTCGTATCTATTTATTTAAAAAAATTTTATAATTCTACTGTACAAGTTTAGGTCACTGTACAAATAACAATCATGCAAAATCCTTTTAATACTAACATCAGTCTTTAGAGCTCATCAAATTATTGTTAACCCTTAAAATTTATCTTTAATTAAGTATATATGGAAAACATAACAAATAATTTTATATATAGTTTTAATTTTTTGTTGTTGTTGAGAACATATACAGCAATCAACAACTCCTACATGTACAATTAAGAGACATTGATTGCACTGAGTTGTGCAATCATTCTTACCCTCCTTTTCTGAGTTGTTCATTCCTATTAACATCAACTCACTGCCCCTAAAATTCCTATCTAATTTTTCAAATAGTTGTTATTAATGTGATAAGAGTACAATGCTTAAGGCAGACATTCTTTTTTGTTTTCCTTAAGAGTTTTCTTTATGAGGCATAGGTCAAATAAAAAATGAGTGAATAAAGCAATGTCTAGAAACCTACCGTTTCCTTCATCACAATAACTGAAGGCAGGCACTGCCTGGAGAGTTGTGTAAAGGAGGAATTATGGTTGGGAAAAGAATGCCCACTGAGCAGTTCTGCCAGTACATTATATTCTTTTTTCTTTAAATCACCTTTAAAACATTTTTTGTTGTGGTAAAATATATATAACAAACTTTGTTACCATTTTTAAGTGTACAACTCAGTGGTATTAATTACATTTGTCGTGTTGTTCAACTATGACAACTACTGATTTCCAAATGGTTTTCATCCGCCCAAACAGAAACTCAATACCCTTTAGACAATGGCTTCCCCCTGTACTGTCCCCCAAATCCCTAGTGACACCTACTCTCTCTATGAATTTTCCTAGTCTATGTATTTCATATAAAAGGGGATCATTATGTCTTTTAAAAAATATTATAGTGTTTTAGGTGAAATTTTACATAGCAAATTTGGTTTCTATTTAATAATTTTTATATAGCTTGTTCTAGTCACTTGTTATATTTTGTACAATGTGTCAATATTCTCATTATTTCCATTCTTAAGTGTTCTGTTTCCATTAGTCTAGCTTCTCTATCCCTCCTTAGCTTCTCATCTTTCTTTTTGGGTGCATATTAACAGCTTAGTTTCATATATTTGGTTAATTTAAGGGAGCACAGAACTTACATTGTTTACTTTATATTCTAATCTATTATTTGGAAAAAGGATGACCACTGGAAGTGGCTTCAGTTATAAGTTCAAAAGGTGATACAGTCTCAAGGGTTCCTCAATTCTCTAATAGTATAGTTAAGTCTGGACTAATTTAGGAATTTGAGTGTTGTTCTACATTTCTCTCCCTTTGCAACTGAGATCTCCTACTGTGTCTCTCAAAATGAGAAAAAAAACCAGCTGCAAACATTCATTAATAATCAGAACATGGAATGTATGAAATATGTTGTTATGTTGTGAAGTGCTGTCAAGTAGGTTCTGACTCATAGAGACTCTGTATGGGGTTTCTGAGGAGCAGCTGGTGGGTTTGAACTACCAACCATGTGGTTCACAGTCCAGTGCTAATCCTACAGCACTACACCAGGATAGGAAAATTGAAAGTTTTAAAAAATGAAATGGAATACATAAAGATTGATATCCTAGGCATTAGTGAGCTGAAAAGTACAGATATTGACTATTTTGAATCAGACAATCACATGGTTTACTATGCAAGGAAGGACAAATTGAAGAGGAGCGGTATAACATTCATTGTCAAAAAGAACATTCCAAGATCTATCTTGAAGTATAATGCTGTCTGTTGTAGGATAATACCAATATGACTACAAGGAAGACCAGTTAGTATCGCTATTATTCAAATTTAAGCACCACCACAGAAGCCAGTGATGATGAAATTTAAGAATTCTACCAATTTCTTCTGTCTGAAATTGATCAAGATACACTGATAATTACTGATGATTGGAATGTGAAAGTCAAGGGAGAAAGTAGAGGCTTTTTGCTCCGCAAAGACTCACAGCCTGGGAAATCATATACAGGGCCACTATGAATTGGAAGGAATACACATAGAAATTGTACCAAAAAGAAATGGCCAACCATTTCAAAAGGAAGCATATGATCAAGAGTCAATGGTACTGAAGGAAGAAATCCAAGTTGAACTGAAGGCACTGGCTAAGAGAACAAGGCTCCAGTAACTGACAGACTACAAATTGAAATCTTTCAACAAACTGATAAAGCAATAGAGGCCGCTTTCACTTATCTATGCCAAGAAATTTAGAAGACAGCTACCTGGCCAACTGATTCAAAGAGATCCATATTCATGCCCATTTCAAAGAGAGGTGACCCAACAGAATGCAAAAATCACTGGACAATGTCATTAATACCACATGCAAGCAAAATTTTGCTTAAGATAATTCAAAGATGGCTTTAACAGTACATTGACAGGGAACTGCCAGAGTTCAAGCCAGATTCAGATGAGGACATGGAACAGGGTATTATTGATGAAATCAGATGGATTTTGACTGAAAGCAGAGAATATGAGAAAGATGTTTACCTGCGCTTTACTGAGTATGCAAAAATTTTAGACTTTGTGGATCATGACAAGCTATGAAAAACACTGCAAAGAATGAGTATTCCAGAACACTTAATAGTACTCATGTGGGACAAGGAGACAATCATTCAAACAGAACAATCAATCTGTATGCTGAGCAAAATAATCTGAGAAGATCAATTATATAAAGAAACGCATGGCATCAGGTTCAGAAGAAAACACTTGAGATATGCAGAGACATGCTGAAAATGAAGAGGACTGAGATATACTTACTGATGAAGATCAAAGACCAAAGCCTGAAATATGGGTTGCACAACTTAATGTAAAGAAAACAAAATCCTCACCACTGGAACAATAAATAACTTCCATATAAATGGAGAAAAGATTGACGTTGTCAAAGACTTCATTTTTATTGGATCTACTATTAAAACTCATGGAAACAGCAGACAAGAAATCAAATGATATATTGCACTAGGCAAAACTGCTGCAAAGACCTCTTTAGAGTGTTAAAAGAGCAAAGATGTCAGTTTGAAGAGTAAGGTGTGCCTGACCCAAGGCATGGTATTTTCTTTAGCTTCATATTCAGGTGAAAGCTGGACAATGAATAAGGAAGACTGTAGAAGAATCAATGCATTTGAGTTGTGGCTGGAGAAGAGTATTAAAAATAACACAGACGGCCGGAAGAACAAACAAATCTATACTGGAAGTACAGTCAGAATGCTCCTTAGAAGCCAGAGTGGCAAAACTTTCTCTCATACTTAGGACATATTATTAGGAGGCACCAGTCCCTAGAAAAGAACACCATGCTTAGTAAAGTAGAGGGTCAGCGTAAAAGATGAGCCCCAACGAGATGAACTGGCACAGAGGCAGCAGCAATGGCAGTAGCATAACAATGATTGTAAGGTTGGTGTGGGACCTGGCAGTGTTTCTTTTTGTTGTGCACAGGGTTGCTGTAAGTTGGAACTGACTCAACAGAACCTACCAACAAAAACAATAAATGGGTCGGAACCAACTTGACATTCCTTAAAAACAAGACCATGGGTAAAATACTGAATGATGCAGAAAGCATCAAAAGAAGATGGAAGGAATGCACAGAGTCACTGTACCAAAAAGAAATGGTTGATGTTCAACCATTTCAAGAGGTAGCATATGACCAAAAGTGAATGGTACTGAAAGAAATAGTCCAAGCTGCACTGATGGGCATTGGCAAAGAACAAGTCTCTGGGAATTTGACAGAATACAAATTGAAATATTTCAACAAACTGATGCAGTACTGGAAGACCTTACTGCTCTATGCCAAGAAATTTGGAAGACAGCTACCTGGTCAACTTATTGGGAGAGATCAATATTTGTGCCTATTCCAGTGGAATGCGGAAACCACCAAACAATATCATTAATATCACATGCAAGTAAAATTTTGCTGAAGATAATTTTTCAAAAACGGTTGCACCAGTACACTGACAGGTAACTGCCAGAGCCAGAAATTCAAACTGGATTCAGAAGAGGACATGAAACTAAGTATATCATTGCTGACATCCGATGGATTTTCACTGAAAGCAGAGAATACCAGCAAGATGTTTATTTGCATTTTCTTGATTATGCAAAGCCTTTAGACTGTGTGGATCATGATAAACTACGGATAACATTTCCAAGAATGGGAATTCCAGAACACTTCATTATGCTCACGAGGAACCTGCACATACACCAAGAGGCACTAACTGAAACATAACAACTAGTGAATGGTTTACAATCAGGAAAAGTGTGCACCATGGTTGTATAATTTTTCACACTTATTTAATCTGTTGAGTAAATAATCGGGAGACGCTGGATTATAATGAAGTAGAGTGTGGCATCTGGATTGGAGGAAGACTCATTAACAACCTGTGATTTGCAGATGATACAAATTTTGCTTGCTGAAAGCAAATAGGACTTAAAATACTTACTGATAAGGTACAAAGACTATGGATTGTACCTCAATATAAAGAAAACAAAAATCCTCACAACTGGACCAAAAAATAACATCATGATAAATGGAGAAAAGATTAAAGTTTTCAAAGACTGCATTTTGCTTGAATCTATAATTAACACTCATGGAAGCAGTAGTCAAGAAATCAAACGATGTATTGCATTAGGTAAGTCCACAAGGTCCATATATACACTTGCCATTTATGTTGTTGAAAAAAGCTATTTGCAAAAAAACAAAAAACAAAACTATTTGCAATCATTATGTCACTGTTGTTGTTGTTATGAAATGCCTTCGAATTGGTTCTGATTCATAGTGACCCTGTATAGGGTTTCTGAGGAGCAGCAGTTCAGTGCTGATCCTGCAGCACCACACCAGAAATCTCTATCAAGCAATCTTCACCATTGTTTCAATCATCAAAGCCATATTTTTCAACTTTCACATTCCAATCATCAGTAAT